AAGCCATTTCTAGCAACCAGGTTGACCATGGGAGCCTAAATAGCAAAGACGCAATAGATTACAGCATGAAAGAGCAGTAAGAGAAAAGAAGGTAAGAGCGAGATAAGACGTTTCGGTCCATTAAGTCATGTACGCCTTAACGCAACACCGCGACAGGACCTTTTAAATAACTCACGGAAGAGGAAGCCACTGGCAATCTCGCCCGCGCGTGACAATTTCTAAGGTACATGGTTTAACTCGGATACTTTCGGATTACCTGCACTTCTCACAGAGGTAGTACTGTTGAAGCGGTTTTAACTTTTGATTTTTGGTTTCGATTGATCTGTATTTAGGTTCGAAAAATATTTTCAGTGTCCGTCGAATTCACCAGATACATTGGACGAGGAAAGTAGCCGGGATGATCTTGGTGATAACACGTCACCACCTCCTCTCGAAAGGTATTCGCTGTGCTCCTCTCCACGTCCCGGAAGTTCGAGGCCGAGAAACCGAGATGCGACCACTTCGTGGACTTGGCGTTTGCGTAGAAGTCAACTTCATTCCAGCATGTTCAGTGGTATAACTTCAGAAGCCGGCCCCTCGGTGAGCAAGAAAAGCTGTTCGGAAACGGATTGGGCGAAGCGAATGACCGAAATGCTGGGCGAATTGCACCCGAGCCAATTCATGCAAGCAAAAGAAACTATTTATTCAACAACGGTAAAGGTACTTGCGCAGGAAATCACCTCTGATGTGTCGTGCTTGTTGAATCTGATCGAGAGCCAGGAGCGTCGCGCAGCTGCCTTTGAGCGAATTCTGAGTGATCTGCGAAAATTGAAGTCAGATCACGCTCCTGATTCGAATCTCTAGCCTCTGTCGCCACGTTAAGTGACGCTTCGCAGTCGAAATGAGTCTTGGTCTTCTTGTGAATAGCCCTTAACGAGAAAAGGGGGATACTACAAGAGCGCAAATGCACGAATTAAGGAATTAGGTCGAAAAATTTGCGATTCTAAAACGAAGGTGATGCAAAATGCGGAAACGAAGCTGTTCGAAATTCCTAGACTGCGCTTCACTGAAGTTACCTTAGCGTTTACTGTTTTATGTGGCGTGTGAACATCTCTCGAAGACAACAACATCTTGTAAATGTTTGGCTTC